TACTTGTATTCTCTTAACTCTTATTGACTCACAGATTGATAAAGGAGTGTACATATCAAGGAAGCTATTGTTTGCTGGTATGCTGTTGAGAGTCAGTGGATTGTGGACTAAAGGGGAAACTGTCAAGAGTGGAGTGCATGGTGACTATTTTCCTTACCTATTTGTTATACATTATTCTATGTTGCTCTGATTCACATTCTTTCTACAAATAAATGTATAATTCTTTCTCTTTGTCTCTGTCTCTCTCCCTCTCTCCCCCCTCTCCCTCGTTTAGGTGTGATTCCATTGATAAACTCCGTAAAAGGTGTGAGACCATTAATTGAGAGATATAGGACTTACAACAGTTCAAGGACTTCTACCAGTTTATGTTTAATGTTGCCAAAAACTCGGGCAGAAAGGACTAGGCTAGTGGCATAATATTATACATGTACATGTACATGTAGGATCATGTTTGCTAAACTTGCCACACAATGATTTCAATGTACATGTGTTGATGGGGGAATTTTGTGAATGATCCTACTAAAATTTGAGAGTACATGTACATGTATAATTTAATGTATATTGTATGAATTGATTAAAATCTTTTGTGCTTTTTATTTCTCTACAGATCTTGAGATGGCCATTGCCTACTGGAATCTTATTTTTACTGGTCGCTTCAAATTTTTGACTTGTGGTGTGAATTTTTAAAAGTAAACAATATTTATATTTGAAGGTCACATTTCATCTCTTTCTTTCTCTCTCTCTCTCTCTCAGTCTCATTATAAAAGAGCTGGCAATACCCAAAGACACTTGGAACCTTCTGCTAGAATTTTCTAACAGGATTGATGACACCATGAGCAATTATGATGAAGATGGTAGGTCTGGTCTATACTGTATAAATTGTAATGTCCTCCTCTTTGAATCATTTGTATTTTGTACAACACTTTAATGTATGGCAGCTTTATTTCTTTGTAAATTTTTTGATGATTTTATGCATATACATGTACATGTACAGCACTTTACTATGAACATGTACATGTACATTAATGATTATATGGTGGGTTTATTATTCATAGTTCAGTCTACACTCTAACTACATGAGTATATGTACATGTACAATGTATGCATATTTCTTGTCAGGGGTGGAGGATCTAGGATTTCATTTTTGGGGGTGCAATAATATGAGATGGATGGGGTAATTAGGGTGTTACTGTAATTCCTCTTAAAATTCATCACATCTAGTTTTGTATATGTAATTTTTAAAAATGAATTTTTAGAGAGAGAGTAGTTATGAAGCTTTTAAATTAATTATTTTGTCAAATTTGGAGGGATTCATTAGTACACAAAACCAGCTATATGCTAACCTGGCTATTCAGAGTATCTTTCTCTCGTATTGAAGTGACAAAATTAGAACCACATGGAACAATAATATTTAAAACGAATTTTTAGAATGAATTATGCTAGAAAATTTGAAATAATTATTTATTTTCGAATTTAGAGCATCGAATATTTAGAGGAATTACAGTATACTACTTGTACCTGTACATGTACATGTATAGTCTTTAGTTTTTTCTGAAAATTGGCTTGTTTTTGAAAATGGCTGTAACTTAAAATTTAGAGTGAAAATTTAGAAAAACTTAAAATTTAGAGTGAAAGGAATTACAGTACTGTACATGCTGTCTTGTATAAGCTAAGATAAGTACATGTACATGTATATTAAATTTCAGTTCAGTATAACAGTTTTAGATTTTAGTAGCATGCATG